TTCCTCATCCTCCTCTGCCCTGCTCTGCCCTGCATGGGGTTGGGACTCAGTATGCCTGCCTCAAGCTGAGCAAAGCCTGTCCTCTGCCAAAACGTCACGTGGGCCAGGCCTTTGGCCTCAGGACCCCCATGGCGGCCGCCGGTGCTGGGTGGCTGGTGGAGTCAGGCCCTCCTCAAGGGAAACATCTGGGCGCACAGGCCTGAATTCTCCTTTCTGAGTGACCAGAGTGTTGAACAAAAACAAATACCTGCTCGGTGCATATTTCTTTCCTTTTGGGGGGGTTCAAGAAGAGTTGACGTTGGAGCCACAGTCGAAGACGTTGCCAAAACCATCAGAAGCTCTCTGAAGGAAAGGGTAGCCAGTTGCCAGCGTTGGAAGCAGCAGCCAAGATTTAGGAAGCTTAAATACCTAACCTGCCTTGATTTAGAGCCCTTTTAGGCTGACATTTAATATCGACTTGCCTGGTGGGCAGGTTTCTCGCAGTGTTTGGGGAAGGCTAAATGGGACTGGAACAGTGATGACCTCACCCAGAGCTCGGCGCCCTTCGGGTCTGGTGCCTCTTTGAGCTCAGAGCAGCTCAGTTTGTGGAACTCCCAGGCTGGCCCCACGTTCCCGGTGGGATTTGGAAAGCCCTGTGTTTATCCCTAGGGCGGAAGGGGGTGCTTTTGGTGGGGGGATGGTGCAGGCCCACCAAGGGAGATCGATGCAGACTACACAGCAGTCATTGGTCTGATCATGGAGAAGGCAGATGCAGGCCAGCCAGAGGCAGACCCAGGACCGAGGGGTGGATATTCTGGGGAGTCACCTTCCATGTATTGTTTGAATGATGACAGCCATCCAAAATGGAATACCTTGGTTAGAGAAAGGTCTGTCCCCACGGGAATTGTTCTGAGGCTTAGATGACCACTTGGCTGGAAACATTGTTAAAGGGTTTCAAAGGCTGGAAAGGGCGGGTGTGGGCTAAATGAAGTCTAAGGTCTGACAGCCGATCAATCCGCGAGAAAAAGGACATACTCACCAGCTTCTATTTAGGGGTCTCTGGTATATAGGAATCCCTCACTTAACTGGGGTTTCAAATAGGACTCTTAGCTAGCCGAAAAGCAACCAGGATCAGCAAGGAAATACCAAATGAGAATTGGGGACCTGTTGCTGCAGCGTTTGCATGGTTTCTAAGTAAGAGGGCGCACAGGGTCTCATCTGTGACCCGGCGACTCCTACTTTAGACACGACTCTAACACACTCGGTGGATTCCTCAGCAGTAGCTGGTAGAGAGAAGTACATTTAGGAACCTGGGAAGAACACAATTTTTAACACCGAGAGAAAAGGAATCAGAAGTATGGCAAAGTGAAGCCATTTAATGAGAAGGCAAACATTTGGACAAACTTTGGGAGCACACAAAGAAGGGCCAGGCTGTGGGTCATCGATAAGAAGTTAAATTGTGTTCAATGGCCTCTGTTAAAGAAGACAGAGTAATCTACACCATATTTTATGGAGGTGTGTGATAGAAGATTGAGAGGTAGCTCCGTACCTGGGAATTTGCAATACACATGGCGGAGGATGTATGAGTAAGAGCCACATTATAAAATTATGTCTCAGTATCAGTATGAAAGTATAAACAACTTTAAAAAAATGAGCACGGGACAGGACATGAGCATTTCACATAAACACTGTACACGTGGCCAATCTACGTGCAAACTGTGCCGACCGTCATTGGTAATCAAACACAGGCGCACAGTTGAAAAAGGAGACTCGATTTTTGTCCGCCAGACTGTCCAAGATTTAGAAGATAGTCCAAGTTAGTTGGGGTGTTGGGACGTAGATTGGTATGCGTTTTGAAGAGCCAGTCTGGCACTTTTTGTCAAATTGTCATCTTATCCATTTATCAGTTTTACCTAGAAATTCCACTCCCAGCAATTGCCCCCCCCCCCACCAAAATGAATCTGAAGATATGTGTTCAGGGATCGTTTCTGAATCTAGAATTACAAGACGTTAGAAACAGCCTGAAGTCCACTGATCCTGTGGAATATTCATGTGGTGAAATATTAAGAAAACATCTACAAATGACATATGCTTGTGAAATTATGAGGATGACAGATTGTGAATAAGACAGGGTGGGTGAAATATACCGTTAAGGAACAAAGAAAACTGTAGAACTATATACGAAATATGAATGATCCTTTTGGTATAAAAAATTATCATTATTACTTAAACCATATTTATACCGAACTCTGAAGCTATTCGTGGGTCTTTCAGCTTGGAAAACTGGTCATTTCCTTTGGGTCAGGCACTCTGCTGGACTCTTATGAAGATGATCTAATTAAATCTTCACCAACATCCTCTAAAGTTGAGCCTCCTCACCCAAGGCTCAGATCATCGTGGAATCTATCACCAGTTAGTAAAGTAAGTGGCTCAATCAGGATTCAAATCCAGATCCATGTGCCCTCGGAATGTAGGCTCTCAGGAATTTACCCATCTGTCTGTCCATCCAGCCGTCCGGCCAGCCAGTATTTACTGAGGGTCTTTTTTGAGCCACAGTATGCTACACGCTTTTGTTTGAAGCCGTGACTAAGGGTAGAGAATTTGTATGGGGAGTACACGTAGAATGCACAGGAACCAGTTCCTATTTGAATATTCACAGGGATAAACGATGAAAACTCTATTTTCCAAACCGTAGACATGGAACTGTTGTGCCTTTCTGACATCTGTTTCATAATGTAGGGAAAGTCCTAGGATTGAAAACAATCAGGAAATGGAAATCCAAACTGGGGGTGGGGAGGGGCTCAGAGGGCTTTGCCATCACTGAGAAGCCTAGATGGCATGGAGGAAGGTCAGCACGAAGGTGTGAAAGAAGCTAGGGGAGCCAGGGGGGTGCCAGGGGCCTTTGGGTGGGGACAGGGGACCGATTCGGGGGGTGGGGAAGGGACCGGTCTGGGAGCGGGGCAGGCGGAGGGGGTGTCGGGGGCCCAGGGCTTTACTTGTAGACCCAGAGAACAGAGAGCTGTGCTCCCCACTGGGGCGCTGCTCAGAGGCCAGGTGACCAGAGGGCCTGGGACTTGTCTTCGGCCCAGAGCAAACCCTTGTTGGAGCTCGCTGGGTCACTGGTCAGCCTGCACCCCATCGTGGCCACCAGGCTCGTGGGGAGCTCTTGAGAAGGACCAGAGTGTAAACGCCAGCTCCAAGTGGTTCTGCCTTGATCCGTCTGGAAAGAGGGCAGGCACCTCCTTTGTTTTATTTACTGATTTTTTTCTTTAAAGCCCTCCAGGTAATTCCAAGGTGTAGGCAGGAGGAGAAACGAGTCTGAAATACAACCCTTTTAAATACAATTACCCGTTCACCCATCTTGCAGTCCTGGGGTGCCCGTTTCTCAGGTGGGGTGCCGTTGGGGAAACCCTGCATGATGGGGGTGGTCTCTGGGCTTCAGGAAACAAGATGCTCATCCAGACACAGCTGCACACTTGGGTGTGATCTCGGCTGAGTCACTGTCCTCCCCGGACCCGCGTGCTGTCCCGGGACGACTTTGAATTGCTCGCCTCTGATATCGCACCCAGTGACCTCACCAACAGCATTGAGTGCTTGTGGAACGAATGAACGAACGAACGAATGAACGATGTGAGGGCTATTTCAAATAACCTAACTTAATCCTGGAAAGGCAATATCCCTGCCCACTCTCACCCTTTACAGCTCTAAGTATTTAAATCCAGACTGCCTAGAAGGTCTATACCTCCACCCTTCCCATTTCCTAGGGCGGCGATAGGGTTAGAGGGTCAGAATGTGCTGCTGCCATATTTCCAAAACTCTACTTCATTTGCAAAAACCTCAGAATTTACAACCCTAAAACCACCCTTTTCACCACTGGCTTGGAACACCACCAACCCGCCTGTGTCAACCCCTATTTAACCCACCGGTTAGACCAGCACACAAACAGTGGGCATCTCCAAAAGGTCGGCCTTCCCAGACCGGCGACCCTTCCGCTGTTTTGCAATTTTGCAAGAAGGGACCTGGGGCCCGACCAAGTCACCAACTGTCTGATTTGAGCTTTTTCCCACTAATTAAATTCAAACCATTAATCAGATGAGAGACTGTTTTCTTTTTGCCTTCGACCTCAAGCAGCTTTTGTCCTTTGGATCTGTCACTCTGGGAATTTTACCCCTTCTGGGAGAGGATTCCCTCGAGCTTTTGAAGTTGGTGGGGAGAAGAGAAGGCAAAGGAGGCAGGCGAGATTTGCTTTATGCAAAGTGGCCACGAGGCACGCCTGCAGAGCCGGCTGACCTAGATCCGTTATCCCCACAGCCAAAGAGATGGGACATTGCTGTCCTGTTTTGTTTGCTTTAGCTGCACGGTTTTCGTGTCACGTGCCCGAGGATGGGTGTAATCTGTCTTTTAAAAAAGCATGTTACAGGGGCGCCTGGGTGGCTCAGTCGGTTAAGCGTCCGACTTCAGCTCAGGTCACGATCTCGCGGTCCGGGAGTTCGAGCCCCGCGTCGGGCTCTGGGCTGACGGCTCAGAGCCTGGAGCCTGCTTCCGATTCTGTGTCTCCCTCTCTCTCGGCCCCTCCCCCGTTCATGCTCTGTCTCTCTCTGTCCCAAAAGTAAATAAACATTAAAAAAGCATGTTACTCCGCACTTCACACTCCTGACTCTCTTACCCTGACTGGTGTTTTCTCTGGGGGAAAAAAAAAAAAAAAACCTGGAAAGAGTTAAGTACTGTTCGTTCCTTCCTTTAAGATCAAGTGTTGCGAAGTAAACTGGAAACGACAACAGAAAAATAAATACCAGCCACTTGCAGTGTGTCCTCTGTCTTGCTGAAAGGTGACCCTGGCCTTAAGGGGACGAGGCAAAGTGGAGGTTAGACTGTGTGCCACCACAAAGTGAAAAAAAAAAAAATCTAGAACAAGAGTCAGCCTGTGGGATTTGAACCCAGGGACTGGGGAGAGGTCAGGCCACAACCTGCCGCTTGACATCGCTGTGTGATGATCTACGGTGTCTGATTTCCAGAACGTCATGGTTATCAACCGCTGCGGCTTACGCGGATTAACTTCTGAACGCCGAGGCCGGTCCCGTTACTTGGGTTCGTGCTGTTTGCTCACGTGAATCACATCACACGCGCTGATGCATCAGGAAGTGGCTGGAGCCCGTACTCAGTGGAAGATGTTTCCATCCCGGAGCTGAGGGGACAACTCTGGTGAGTGCAGTCTTTTTCTGTGGCGAGAGGACCCTGCCCTAGTCCTGCCCCTTCTGCACCCGTGTGGGTTCCGGGTTCGGGCCTCTCTGGAGGGAGAGCCCGTTAGCTCAATAACCAGGCAGCCGACTGACAGTTCCCACCTCACGAGAGCTCCAGGCTGGTGACCCTGGTCACTCTGAGAGTGGAGGCCCCATCACCAACGTTCCCTGAACCATATGCTGTTGGAGGTGCTGAAATGTGGTCCCTGACCTCAAGGGGTCATCTCTAATTGACTTTGTTTTGGTCCCGAGTATCAAATGAGCAGAAACAAAGAGACATCTTGAGGGGGGTGTGCTGGTCGGCTAAGGGGATTTCACGGAGGTGCCCGAGTTTGAGGGCCAGTGATCTCAGCAGGAGCTTCATAAATGCTCCCACGGTCGGAGCATCACCCCTGTATCAGCTTCGCCAGTTGAGTCTGTGCCGAGAACGGTGCTTTAGGTCGAAGGCGTCAACCTCAGAAAGTTAACAACCGTATCGTCTGGCACACAAAGGGCAGGGGTCACCTCCTCGTTCGTGAATGAGGGAAGCCACCACGGGGAAGGGCCAGACGAGGGAATGCTGAGCTCTTTGGCGGGTGGGCCGGCTGGCAGCCGGGCCCGAACCCTACTCACACAGCCATGGACAGGCTCCTCACAAATCAGGAAGACCACCTCCCTGGTGACCTTGAACTCCACTTACATTTGGCAAGGGTCAGGGACGGCCTCCTGGAATGAGGCACAGACCAGGCAAAGGTGTAGCGGTTGGACGCTCTTGGGCCCAGCTAGAAGGCACCACTGGGCAGGCCACACGTCTGTATTTTGCCCAGCACCGAAGGCCACCCTTCATGGGGGGAAGAGGGGCTGTGGTCCATGCATAGAGAGAAATCACTTCATTTCCTGTGACTTTAGAACAGAACCTTCAACGGCAGCAGGATGCTTCTCCTTTTTTTGTTCTTTTTTTGGCCCGTGATGCTTTGAAAATGGGACATTTCACATATAAATGCTGGTATCCTGTGGCTTTTGATAAACTCAGCAGATCTGGCCACCCTGGGCCCGTGTTCCTGTCTAGAAATGAGGGTCCGGAGCTCAGCCATGACTGTCGCTTCAGGCAAGGTCTGGGCTCTCAGTTTGCCGCAGACCCCACCACCCCCTATTGCCTGCTCCTTAGCCGCTTCACGAGTGCACAGCGTCCGCCTGGGTCCTGGGGGCCACGCGTTTGCAATGCTTCCGAGGGTCGGGGAAAATGCGTCCCCTGTGACAGAGTCACAAATGATGTTGAGTAAAGTCATGCACAGTTGAAATTCCTTGCAGAGAGACTGGAGCAGGTCACTGATGGGGGAAGCCGATAGCCAGTCACAGGTTAACGAGCCTTCTGCTCTGGGGAGGATATATAAATATACCCCAGAGGGGATCTGAACTTTCCCCCACCTATCTGATCCGTCTCTAATTGTTACCAATTGGTATTCCCTTACGCCCATGCTTTCTTTGTAATAGAGACCTTGTTCTCATTCCCCCGCTGAGAGTGACCCTGTTTTCCAGCTGCCCGTCCACAGGGGTCACTGATTTCCTGGGACAAGAATTTGGGGGGTTTTGGTGTTTAAAACATCCAATTTTCCTTCTTCCCTAAACTGGCTCCATTTATCTTAAGTCATTAAGCGCGCTGGCGTCCTTGAAAGCTGCTCTCACTGGATTCATGTCACTAAGCAAAGTGACGAGAATTTTACCAGGCGTGAGACACGCTTTTTACATTGTTTATGCTTTTCTTAAAAAACAAAACAGAACAGAACGACACTTTAGCAGACGTACGTGGAGGCTGGCTTCTGCCCTGGCTGGCCTTTCAGCCCGCACGGTGCGCAGTTGTCTGTGGAATTGTGAGCCGAGGGTTGCTCTAAGTCCCGCGCCGTGCCCTCCGACCTCGGATGCGGTGAACACGTCGTGGGTGAGGCTGAGTTCGCCGCCCGGGACTGTCCTGAAGTCTGGGCTGGAGCGAGGGTCTGAGGCGCGACCGCTCCCAGACGGAGATGTGGCCCCGGGTCGGAGCACTCCTCCCTGGTGCCTCTTGGCCCGCGGGCCCAGGGGGAGCGGGTGGCGGGTGTGGGGGGCTGCGGAGGGGAGCGCCAGCGGCGAATGTGCGTGATGCCCCTGGATCGCACACCCTTATAGTCAAAAAGGCAAATTTTATGGTGTGGATATTTTACCACAGTGACAAAAAAGACAACGGGAAGGAAAAAAAGACTCTTCGATGAGAAACCTTTAAAATGAAAAACAACCATGAGGGGCCCAGAAAGACGAGGGTAAACCTCATGTTTGTGAAACAAGGTCGTGGCCCGTGTCGCTTTCCTCATGGGGGACAACTGTGTGCGTTCTCACACACACTCTTACACTCTTGTACACACGTCTCACACACATACACACAGACATGCACACACACTCACCTACACACACGCACACACACGTGTCTGTCACACACATGTGCTGGTCTCACACACACTCCTGCATACACTCGCACACATTGCCCATCTCTCACACACACACACACACATATCTCTCACAGACACACACTGTCACACACACTCATCTGTCTCACACAGACATACACTCATTCGTACACACTCACACATCTGTCTCACACACACACACACCTACATACTGTCGCACACATACACACAGATGTGCACACACACATACATGCACAGCAATCACACACGTCTGTCTCACACTCACACTCACACATTCACATGCCTACACACGGACAGACACACTCATCTGTCTTACACACACCCTCTCGTACACGCTCACCTGCACACTGTCACACACAGGTGTGCACACACTCATGCACACGTGTGCTCGTCTCTCACACGTGCAGGCGTGCTCACACCTGCACACACCCTGGAACCCTTTGAGCCCACGTGTCGTAACCATCGCTGCCAGCTTGTCACCAAGCCACAGACATCCTGGTGAGACCTGGACCCCCCACGGCTTCGGGGAGCCCTGAGCCAATGTGTTAGTTTGCGAGCAGCACAAACCCGCCGTCTGAGACAACACACGCTCGCAGTCTCACGTTCCGGAAGCCGGGAATCGAGGTGTCGGCAGGGCCGTCCATCCCCGTCTCTGTGTCTCTGTCCTCCCCAGCAGCCCCCCCCATATGGACCCCAGTCATATTCGATTAGGGTCCGCCCTGCCCCCGTGTGACCTCATCCTAACTAATAACATCTGCAATGACTCTGTTTCCAAGAACGTGTGCGTTCTGAGGGACCCATCCAGCACCTAATGCCCCGAGTCCCTCCTGCCCCAGCACCTCTGAGAACCTCTCGATTCCTTCTGGAAACCCACGACTGTTTCTCCCAAGCATCTGTGACTCGGAAGGGGCCGCTCCAAAGCCCTGGCTTGTCACGGTTTAAAGGGAGCGAACGTTGCAGCCATGGTTTTAATTAAGGGTTGATGGGCCATGTCATGACATCATCAATAAAATGAGCATAATAAAAGAAATAATTTGGTAGGAGGCATGGGAGGGCAGCCCAGACCTCGTCACGAGCCTGCACTCTGCAGCAGTGAAAGGCCGTCCCAGCGCTGGCACGCCTCAGGCTGCCCAGGGCGACCCTTGTCCGCTAAGCAGTTCCACTCATGCCCGTCGACTCTGCGTGGCCCCGCCAGCCCAAGGGCTGCCTACGGGTGTCGACTGCGCTATGCTGCAAGCTGGGTGAACCGAGCCGGTTAACTGCCAGCTGCTGGGTCAAACCCTGTCTTCTGGAAATGGCGTGCCAGGGCCTGCAGCGGGGGGCCCTGGGGGGAACGGGTCTTCGTGGAGCTGTGTGTCGCTGTGCGGCCAGCCTGGGAAGCTGGCCGGAGCCTCCAGAACAGAAGCCAGAAGGGGGTGCCGGGGTTTAGAATTAAGCTCAGCCTTAAGTGCAGGGTCAGGGACGTCCTTGGCTGGACTTGTCCACGGCTGTCATTTCCTTAAAGCACACAGATGAACGAAAGTCTCGTATGATTTTTAAACTCCGTGTCCCTGTACCCGTGGTTTAGAAAACTTGCTTTCTTGGGAACTGGGAAGATTTTGAGCATTACGGTACTTCTAGGTGTTGCTGTTTGAATGAGGAACGTTGATGAACGGAATGAGCCCGGAGATCACACGGAGCAGGTGACTGTGGGGCCTCTGCTCAGGGCTGTACCCAGGTGGGTACTTGACCAGGGCGCCGGGCCAGGGGGGGCCGACGCCAGCCTGGGACCGCTGCTTCTGGAATGGGGTGACTTTCTGCAACTTGCCCACCCAGAGGAGGTGTTATCTTACCGAATTTACACGAAGATACCTCGCTCGGTAGCGGGGCTCTGGCTGAAAGAATTTGAACATCCATTTCAAGAGAATGGACACACTCCTTTCAAACTGAAGTCCTCCGTCAGTGCATGCAGCAGATGTCTTGTCGCACACCTGTTACGCTCCGGACGCTCTGCCATCTGTCGGGGAGGAGGGTGGGGACGGAAGGGTCTCTGGGTCTGAGGACACAAATTGGACCGACGGGTAGACGTGACACGGAGGCTGACTGCAGCACAGAGATGGAGATACGCTGACCAGGGTGGCTCTTGGAGAAGCGGTTTGGAACTGTCCAGATGTGGAAGCTGGGCTCATCCTGTGACTGGGTCCCTCGGTTCCTAGGTGTGTCCCAGCAGCATTGTGTCTAAGTGCCCCGAGCTGGAACAGTAACACGAGGCGATGGCAGTGGCACCGTCTTATGAGAGTGAAGCTGGTGAACACAGAAGCTAGCGCTGAGCGAAAGGAGCCAGTCACAAAAACAGATGCGCCAACACCGTGCTTTGGTGGAGTTCAAAAGCCGGCAGGACCTCCTTACTCGTGGCCGTACCAACGCGTGCCAGGTGCAGAGAGGAGCCGGCCACGGTCAGCTCCCGCGCTGAGAGGACGCTGCGTGGGGGGGAGCTAGGGCTGGGGGCTTGGGGCGCCACCGTGTTGATGACCCCGGCGCTCGC